TCGAGGAGCACGGCTGCTGCCGGGAGCTGGCCAGCCGCCTGCGCTATGCACGCTCCATGGTGGAGAAGCTCCTCAGCTCCAAGTCTGGCTCAGGCCGGGCAAAACCCTCTGCTTAGATCTTGTTCTCACTGGACTCAACATCTGTGCCAAGCTGCCCCAGCTGTGGAGCAAGAGGTCTGGGAGCTTCCCTCCCATGGCACAGCTGGGCTCCCAGTCCGGGATACAGGCTCTTTGCCTCGAGGAGGCCCCTGGTGCTGTGGAACGGTGTTGTTCACTCCGACTGGTGCCCAAAGGTTTCTTGCTCCCCACTCCTAACAAAGTTTATTTTTTAATTGCCTAGTCTGTTTTTCTAACTTCCCGAAGCCACCAGCCTGACTCCAGCCCAGCCCTCCTGTGTGAGGCTCCCGGGTCTGCTCTGGAGAGCAGAGCTGTCCTGTGAGGTATCTATATGTGGCTGTGCCTCTGCTCGGCTTTGTTTCCTCTTGTGAAGGGCTCAGGTGAGGTATTGAAGAAGCCTGGGGTGAGACTGAGGGATCTGCCTTTTAATATTGAAACTACATGAAACTTCAACTTTTGTATATTGCATAACCTGAATAAACGTTGTTTGCCAGAGTCTCTAGCCCATCAGAGTTCTCTTTGCACGTCAGGCTTTCCCTCCAGGCAAGAGCCATCGTCCTACCAGGCTGGGCTCGTCTCTCACTCAGCTCCATTTACCACAGAGCAACAGGACAACTGGCACAGGGTGAGGGCAAGAGGGGACGGGGTTAAGTTGTTTTGGGAGATGCTTGGCAGGAGCAGGGAAAGGTGGGCGAGTTGTTACTTCTACAGCACTGGGGAACCTTTCCCAAGTGCTTGGCTCTATTTACTATGTGGTTACTAACTGTGACTATAGAATCAGCAGCAAATTCTTGTGGGAGCTCAGTGACATCTCAGGTGTTCTCCCATCGCTGCTCCCCACCAGCTCCTATGGCAGCTCTCAGGGCAGTTTAAGCAGGACAAGCTTATTAGGGGTTTTTTTAATATATTTTTATAACATTTTGTATAAATATATTCTGAGAAGAAACCAGGTACAAACCCTGTTACCTGTGTAACAAAATCCCCTACCCCAGTACACACAGGAATCACACTGTACAAAATCATTGCTGTTCCACAGTGGAACTTTGCTGTGGGGCTCTGTGTGCCCATGGGTCCAGCTGGTGCTGGAGGGTGGCTCGTAGGGAACACATGCCCATGGGGCTGCCATGAACCAGTGCACCCATGGGACACCAGTTGTGGGCAGCAGGAGAGACTGGGGGCAGCTGCAGGCACAGGCCTGTGTTTGAGGGAAGGGATCCCTGTGGAGAAGAGGGTTCCCTGCCTTTGTGTCTGGAGACAACTGCTCCTGAATCACTGTGCAACCTGCTCAGGGCCTCAGGCCTGGCAGATGTACAGGCTGCTGGAGACCAAAAGGGAGAAAACCTCATTCTCAGCCCAGCTGAGATTCAAACCTTTGTTATGGGGGCTGTGCTGGATGCTTCCCCCTGCTGCAGGGTTGGCACAGCTCAGATGCGACAGGCAGATCCCAGCCCCGGGGCGGCTGCTCAGCACTGCCTGGCTGAGCACAGCCCTGCGTATCAGCTCCAGTGTCAGGACCAGGGTACTGGTTCCGGATGCAGTCCCAAGAGCTGCAGTCTCAGACATGTGGCACAGGAGAGGGCATGGACAAAGCTCGTCGATTCCCAGTGAACACCCACTGGGACCCGGTGCCAGCCTGAGGGCATCACTGTGCCGGGGCATCGCTGTGGCTGCCCTTAGAAAACGTTTTCCTCTTCCTTCTCGAAGCACTGTGCCCACTCCAGAGGTTTTTTTCCTCTGATCCAAATGCTTTCAGGTCACCGAGTCTGGTGCGAGCATTTGCAAAGGTGGATGCCCAGAGGGTCCCTCAGGCTCAGGAGACCTCAGGTGAGAGCACAGAGCTGTGCTGTGCCCACCTCTATATGCTGGGCACCCACCCATCCCCAGGGAAAGGGAGAAGGACATCCAGGCTCCACAGGGCTACGGGCAGGGAGGAGCAGCTGTGGCAGCCTCGTGCCACAGGGCTGTCCCAGCATGTGTCCCTGCTCATGCACCGTCTCCCATTAGCCCCTGGCAGTAGTAGGAGTGGAAGATCCGCTCGTGGGCACAGACCCGCATGGCCCCATGGGTGTGCAGCAGCAGCCGGGGGAAGCGGGAGGTGAAGTACTGTATGAAGCCATCTGGGATGGAGCCCAGGGCTGCCCGGACATCATCTGGCAGCTCATGGTAGTGGTGCTTCTGCAGAAGAGAGAGTGAGGTGAGAGAGGACGGGGACAGCACGGGGCGAGGTGAGAGGATGGGGACAACGGGGGTGGCAGGAGCACAGGGCAGCCAGGTGGCCGTACCTTGTTCCTCATGGCTCGCAGCAGGTCTCGTACCGATCCCCCTTTGTAGGTGCGGAACTTCCTCAGGTCTGGGGAGAGCAAGAGAGATGCTGAGTGAGGCAGGCCAAGGGCTGCCACAGCCCCTGTAGAGCCAGCACCTCCCCGGGGTGCACACACCAAGCACCCCACCCCGTGGCAAGCCCTGGCTCACCTCTGCCCTCCCCTCCCAAAGAAAGGCTGGCATCTTTACCCGCCCAGGTCTTCAGCTTCAGGTGCCTCCTGCCCAGTAAAGGCACTGGCCCCAGTCCCCACCTGCTTCACTAGACCCAAGGGTGATCCTGGCCCCTCGTCATACTCACCCATCTGCAGTGGGAGGGAGATGTGCATCCTCCAGTTGGTCCTCACCACTGCCCGTGCTCCCGATTCCAGGGCCGAGACAATGGGCCCCTCGGCCGGCTCCTTCTCCACGCGGTCACTGACATCCTGTGTGCCCAAGAGCAGGGATGGGGTGGGTATGGCACTGCCCTCACCCTGCACGAGCAGGGACAGAGACCCAGAGACCCCTTACCCCTTCTGGAAGCAGCTCAGAATGATAATGTTGACCTGAACACATCTGCTTCCAGCAGTCATTTTTCAGAGCACACCTGCATTTGCTGCCAGTGGGACAGCACAGGCTCACCTGGAAGAACTGCAGCTGCTTGTCGTGACTCCAGAAAAAGGGATGCACAAGGACCACGGGCGCCGAGGGCCGGCGCTGGGGCTCAGGGCTGATCATCGCCACAATCAGCTCCCTTGCCACAAGCTTGTCTGAGGGTGAAACAGCACAGTGGAAAACTCACACCCCCTGCCAGGACTGGGAGCTGCCCCTCGGCCCAGGGCTCCCCATGGGGCTGCACCGTTGGGGAAGGGTCTCAACTGGGGAAGGTTCTCACCATGAGCCTCCTCCTGCAGACAGCTCAGCTGGTAGGAGCCAGCCAGGATGTTGGCCTGTCGCCTCAGGCTGTCCCCAAAGGGGTGCTGACCCCCTGATACCACATAGTAGAAGACACAACCAGCTGAGAAGATGTCCACAGCACTGGTCTGCAAAACATGGGGGAGATGGGACCCTCAGGCAAAGGGTGAAGAAACCTTTCACCTCCCACTTTTCCATCCTTTTATGAGGACAATAGGTCTGACTACAGAGCTCCCGGAAAACATGGTGCTCCTGCCCTGCTCTCCATGGGCAGGGGAGCCCCAGCATCCTGGGCCCGTCAGGAGCAGAAGTGTGACTTTTGGCAGCAATCCATGGCCCCTCCAACCTCCCCACCCTGAATTTCCTGCCACAATGAGCCCAAGGAGCACCCAGGGTGGAGGCAGCTGTGGCTCACTGACTGGGTTCTCCTTCGGGGCCTCCTGCAGCACCTCGGGCGCAATCCAGCCCTCGGTGCCAGGGATGCCAGAACGGAGGCTGAAGCTCTGTCGTCCTCCCTGGAGCTTCTTGCAGAGGCCGAAGTCAGAGATGACAGCACGGATCTGCCCATGGCGATTCGGGACAGAGATGAGGATGTTGCAGGGCTTCAGGTCACGGTGGACTGAAAGAGAGTGTGTGGCATCAGCTGGCAGGGCTGGAGCAAACAGGGCTTTGCCACTGTCCCGCGTGCTGCTGACTCCAACAGCTGCTGCCCAAAACGTGCAGCCTTGGCTGAGGATGGGATGGAGAGGGCTCTCTTACCGATGCTGAGGGAGTGGAGGTGAGCCAGCCCAGACATAGTCTGACGCAGCAGGGACACTGGGTCCAGCCCACGGCGGTCGAAGCTGGGGCTCTCCACGTACTGGTATGACACAGAGGGAGAGTGGAACTAAGCCTGATTTACTGTCTTAGTTTCACTCTAAAGCAAAGACAAGGCTGGCCAGAAGAGAGACCCCTCCCCAGGCTGGTGATGGAGACCAGCCCATATGACGGCTGTTAGTGCCCATGCTTGTGTGTCCAGGGCTCCCAGATGCCCCAGCAGCAGCCTCATGCCCAGGGCAGGGTGGTGGGGTCAGGGCTCACCTCCTGCAGTGTGGCAGAGCAGAGCTCGATGGCAATGTAGTGGAACTGCCTGTCCTTCTCGGTGCAGAAGTATCGGACAACGTGGGGGTGCTCGTCTGACTCCCGAAGCAGCTGGACCTCGCGTTCCAGCAGACGGACACACTCAGGCAGGAGCCGCTTCACAGCCACGTTCCGGCCCTCGAACTGTCCCCTGTGTGGAGTCCCTGGTGTGCCCATGTGTGGTCTGCGGCCAGAGCAGGGCCCAGCACTGCCCCAGCACAGCTCAGCCACGCTCCGAGCATGGAGCTCACCCGCAGGGTCCTCAGCATGGGTCACCCTGCCGTATTACTGAGGGCCACAAGGTCCCAGACAGGTGTGATGAGGACCAGAAGAAGGGGAAGGTAGTGACTCGTTCCTGAAAGTCCCTGAACCAGCAGCCACCACCCTGGGCAGGAGCTGCCTTGTCACTGTCTCTGTGGCTCCCAGGGAGAACGGAACAGGGCCAGGCACCCTGTGTCACCCACCTGAAGACAAAGGTTCCTCCAGCTCCGTGGCCCAGCACATCCTTGGGGTTAAAAGAAACTTTCCCAACTACAACCAAGTCTGGTTCTGCTTCTGCAGGGGAAGAGAAGACAGCCATCCTTCAGCCTTCAAGCATTAGTCCTGTATGGAGGACATCCACCACTTTTTCTATCTGGCCACTTCTTGGGCCCTACTCTTATGCAGCCCATGCTTAACCAGCAGCAGGTTCAGCACCTCCTGCCATCCCAGCTGGGCTGCAGCCCTCTCTCTGTGGGCATTTCTGCTCCTGGTTCAGGTGACAGCATCCCTGGACAGGCAGCTCCCCCACACCCTGTCCATTCCCCCTGTACCCACCTTCAGCAGCTGCTGGGACAGTCAGATCTGGGCTAACCATCCCGTTAGCTGGGTCCTTTGGGATGGAGGGGCCGGAGCTCTGCGAGAGCTCTGAGGTGCTCCCATGGCTCAGCCCTGGCTCCCCAGGCTCCGCAGGGACACCTTCCCTGGACACCCTGCCTGGGAGCAGCATCTCCTGCTGCTGCTGCAGGAGTTGGATCTGCTTCTCCAGCTGCTGCTGCTGCTGCGCCGTGTGCTTCTGCTGCCGTTTCTGGAACACAAGCCATGGGGGGATGCTCAGCCCCACACCTGGAGTGCAGTCGGGGTATCAGCATGGCAGCAAGGGCTCCACTGTCCCTCACCCTCCACCACCACTCACCATGAGCAGGAAGGCCAGGACTCCCCCACCCAGCAGCGCTGTAACAGCTGTCGTCACCAGGTCCCAGGTGCCAGCCTCGGGGTACACCTCCACCTGCTCCCCCGGGGCAGAGTCCGGCTGGAGCTGCCCCTCGCTGCGGACGGCCGGCTCCTCTGGGCTGCTCAGGGCCAGGAACTGCAACACATGCCCAGGGCTGGGTGACACCGGAGGGACAGACCGGGGGATGCTCAGCTTTGGGACTCTCTCCCTGTTCTACCCCACGCTGGGGACCCATTGCCCATCCCAAGCAGCCCAGACCCTTCAGTGACCCAGCACCCTTCACCACTCACATCATCAAACACGGTCCTGGCAGGAGG